TAAATTCTGGATACGGCTTCTCTTCTATTGAACCTAGATTTGGAGTCTATTTTAAAATATTCTACTGAACACAATTTGAAAATAAATGCCAATAAAACTGAAGTTCTTTTGTTTTGTTCAGAGAAGAAAAGAGCAACTTTACAGCGAAGCATAACACTAAGATTAGCTAATGAAAATCTACGCTACTCAGCTTCCGCTAGGAACTTGGGACTATATATTGACACGCATCTTAGGTTTAAAGAACATATAAAGAAACTTTTGCAAACAACTTACACGAGAGTCAAAATATTATATTCCAATAGATACATTTTAAACTTTAAGATGCGAAAAAAACTGTGTGAATCCCTGGTACTGTCTGTTTTCAACTATGCTAATATTGTTTTTTATCCATGTTCATTTTTGGTCTGAGGAAGTACGATCATATCTCTGCTCGTATTAATGAATTAAAGTGGCTTAAGATTTCAAACACTGTCAGGCTGCATTTCGTCATGTTTCTGTATAAAGTTCGTAGCACATCCACCCCTATATATCTGAGTGAAAAACTTATTCCTCGTAATGTCATGCATAATTGTAATATAAGACACCATAATCAACTGACCATGCCTCAACATAGATCCGCCCTTTTTCAAAGAAGTTTTACCTATATGGCCGTCACTAGTTACAATTCCCTTGATAATGATTTCAAACAATGTAATTTTGGTCAATTGCGAAAAAAATATAAAATGTTTCTTTTGTCTTCACAGGAATGATGATGGTTTTGTATTTTTTGTTTATTTTTTAAAATTATTTATTATGCCATGTGTATAAGAATTAACTATGTATATTTTTTAATTTGTTAGTTTATAGAACATATTTTTTTGTCTTTTTTGTCTTTTGAACATATTTTTCAATAAATATCTTATGGCAGCTATGGGTGGTTAAATGTAAGAATAACTTTTTTTGTTAAATTTCGCCACCCTTGTTGCATGATGTGTAATAATATATGTAATGTTACACATCTTTTTTTCTTCAATAAAGACGATTATTATTATTATTATTATTATTATTATATAAAAAAGTTATGGAATTTTACGCAGAATCTAAAAATAAAATAAAAAATAGGGTGTTGCATTTAAAAAAAACATACATAATATGTTATATCCGCCACACTTTTTTGAATCACCTTGTATACTCTATAATAATTTTAAAATGTGCATCTTAACCTTATCTACAACCTTTATATTTAATTTTTTTTGTAAACCTCGAAACAAATGAGATAATGGACTTTACTCTATCGTTGACTCACCCTGTACAATGATTCAGTATTGAAACTAAATAATGAAAAAATTCGGACTTCCATTGTCTTTATTTATTTTTACTTTCACAACGTTTCGGTCAGATATATCACTGACCGTTATCAAGTGTGAACTAACCTAAATGAGCTTATATATACCGGGTGCGCCTCAAAAGTGTAATTTTTAAACCCATATGGATAAAAGACTAAATTAGAAAATAAAGGAATCGTTTTGATTTTCGCTTTTCAAAACAATATATTTTTATTTTTGGAATTTTGGGCCAAAGTCTGCGTTTTTTTTGTTACACATGGTTTTTGATTCATACCATACCTATAATTAGCGATGGGAACTATCGAATGAATTAGACTATCGAATGGTTAATGAATGAATGATTTCAACTATCGAATGGTTTTATTCGAATAAAATCATTCATTCATTTGTAAACTAAAGCATATGTGACAACCTCGCAGTGCGACTAAATGGTTATCGTTAGCGATGGGAACTATCGAATGAATTAGACTATCGAATGGTTAATGAATGAATGATTTCAACTATCGAATGGTTTTATTCGAATAAAATCATTCATTCATTTGTAAACTAAAGCATATGTGACAACCTCGCAGTGCGACTAAATGGTTATCGTTGAGCCACGACTATCGAATGCTTTTGATAAATGAAATTTAGTATTCGTTTGATTTTTGTATGCGCCAGTGCATTATTAGTTCTTCCAAATTTTTATAACTTCGCCGTATAAATACTGTGCTATTTTTGCATTTATTAAAATAGTTAAAATACTAAAATAGTAGTTATTTTTTAATTTTATTTATTGACGATTGTGTGCATGTGCAGGTGGTCAAAATTTTTCCGAAAATTTGTGTTGTTTTCCGTAGTCCGATCTTTCAGTTATTTAATTTTATATGGTATATGGTCTATTTTTTAATGGGAAATTTTGAGAAGTAGCAATTTTTAAGAGGGATGAGATGAACTTACAATTAATTTTAAAAATACATATTTGCATTTTAGATGTTTTAATAATATGAATTAGTTGGAACTTAATAATCATATTTAAGTAATGTGGTTAAGTAAATGGGGGGTTATCGAACTCAAACTATGGGGTGAGAAAATTAAAATGAAAGTTTTACACGTGCCAATTTAAAAAAAAAAGTTAACGATGTTTATATTTTGTTTATGCTAATTCTCTTACATGTAGTTTTTTGCAAAGAAAAAACATTTCATTTATTTTTTAAAGTAAATGCCAGTAAAAGTAAATACAATTTTTAAATAGTAATATAAAGCACCTAATATAAATAATTTTGATTTCTAATTTTTTATTTATATTTTCCTTCCATTACACTGCATGCTTAGAAAATTAATAAATGTTTATATTTCATGATTTTAAAATTTGTTGTTAATATAACAAATTAGTTCTGTAATTATTATTATTTAATAAACCACCGTTGCCAAAAAATTTAGAGACTATATTATTTTTAAATAGAATCTAATATAAATAATTTTGACATCTAATTTGTTGTTTATATTTTGCTACTACTTAAAAGAAAATATTTATATTAAATGATTTTAAATTTTGTTGTTAATAGGTATAACAAATTATTACTGTTATTATTATTTATTAAACCAGTCTTTGCTAAAAAACATTAAAAATAATTTTCTTACATTCAAAATAACAAGTATTATTGCAGTGTATCAACAGAATATTAATAAAAAAAATGCAGAATATATAAACATACTATCCCTAATTAACTAAAGCCAAACAATAATATTCTTTGCTAATATCAACTAATACCAAAATATGGCAACAGCGCCTTTCATAATGTATTTTCTGTGTAAATACTAGCACCTCAATAAAAAAAATAATGTGTCCTTATCTATATCTGACGCCGCAAAAAATCAAAGATGCCGGCTTCTTTCATAGCATTGCCACCGACCGCTGTCGGGTTTCTCGGAAAGAAACCTACGACGCCGGGCGACAACTAAAATTCAGTTAATATTTTATTATAATCGATCCTGACGAATGAATGAATTTCATAAATGAATGAATTTTATAAATGAATGATTTTATAAATGAATAAGAATTTTATAAATGAATGAATTTTATAAATGAATGAATTTTATAAATGAATGAATTTTATAAATGAATGAATTTTATAAATGAATGAATTTTATAAATGAATGAATTTTATAAATGAATGGTTTTTGCTGCCGAATTACTAGAATACAATATTTCAAGGCAGATGACGGATCTATTCGATAATTTTTATTCGAATAGTTTTCAACGAATGTTTTCTTACTAACTATCGAATTATTCGAATGAATTGCAACTATCGAATGTTTCGATAGTATTCATTCGATAGTTCCCACTACTACCTATAATAGCTCTGTATTTTATAACGAAATTTTTAACAGAAAAAATTTACCCTATATTTTGGTGCAGACTTTATAATATGATATTTTTTAATAATAATAAATCAGTTATTTATTTTCGAGACTCTCGAAATTTCGAGAATCTCGAATCGAGATCGAGAAATTGACTTCGAGAAAAACATCGAGACGAGAGTTTCTTAATATCTCGTCTCGATGAAAGCCTATTTGAAACTGTAACATGCGGTTCATAATAACAATTTGACTCGAAATACCAAGTGTGTGGTACCAAATTATTCGTAAAAAATACGATTTGGGCATCTTTTAACCGGTCAGGACAAGACTGACAAGACATGAAAAATATTAGACGTTCAAATCTTTTTTGCCAATGCTCCTTGATTAAAAATGAGTGTTTCTAACACAGCCATGGCACTATAAATTGAAATTTAAAATACGATTTTTTTTTAATTCATCATTTATGTTAATTCGTCAGAGTTGTTAATTCATTATTATTCAGGGTGTCATTTTCTATCGAATAAAGTAGAAAAATATCGAGGGTGCCATTTAAAAGTCAGAAGTTCTAATCATTTCCGGTGAAACCAGAAAGTGACCAGAAATAACTGAATACGTCAATCAATCCTAAGTTATGTCATATACTAACATACTAAATCTCGTTTTTTTTATCTGAAAAAATAAAAAAAACAGGGGTGAGCCGCTTTTGAGACGCACCCGGTATAATAGAATAGAACAGTCACTCGTGAAAAAGTTTAGTGAGTATATGTAGGTGGGGTTCGAGTACCACATCATAAAATGATTGGAAGCCTTGGTAGTCCACGAAGATCCTCACTGGAAAAACTAAATTTAAAAAAGCCGTATTCATATCTAGCATTAATAACATTTCAGCCATCCAACTATGGAAATTTTAACAATATGGCAACCACTTAAACGACGCTCTAATGCGTTTATTCACAGAGTGGACCAGTGGACAACCTCGTGCTTGACTGCATCCAACTTTTTCAAGGGTGAATGCTGTGGATTTAGATTAGTCCACACTTTATAACGGTCCATATGAAATATTTTTGTTGCACTGTTAGTTTTAAGAAACTCTTGAAAAGGGCCTAACAAACCGAAACATACGTAGATATAAGATTAATTTCATTAAAGTTGAAACCTCTAAAAGCGTGTTTTATTAAAATAATAGTGTATCAACGATGTCTCACAAAGGCCCAACCACAGAGGCAATACTATTAATCAACTAAATATTTAGCCATTATCAAAACAATATTTATTTACTGGAACATCGACTTGAACTCATCATTCAATCATGATGTAACATTTTTCTTCCAGATGTCAACGACTGTGGGGGCTCATACAGGAGCTGGACCCCTTAGCCTGATGTCATGTGTGCGCGAATCTTCGCCGTTGCAAGACTACGAGACAGACGTCGAAAAAAACGGTAAGTAGATATTTTAATTTCAATACAATGTATTTGCGCGTTCCGCCAAATCCTCGAAAAGCATGAAAATTATTGGGCCACCAAAAAAATGGACCATATTCTTCAATTTTTAAACCTGTTGTAACACATATCGGTCAAAAATCACCAAATCTGGTGAGTTTTTACCAGATATGGCAACCTTGGCAGCGTCGCCGAGGAGCAGACTTGAGTGAATCAGTCATAAACGCTCATCCGTGGGTTTTAGTTTGATATTCTAATATTTTGTTAACTTTAAAAACTTGAATTTTTGATATGAGTTACTTTGAAAGAGCTAAAATCGAATCGTGAAAGGTTTTTTTTTTAATTCACCCCCGAGAAGGAGTGAAATAAATAAATAAAATTATTTCTTCGAAATTTCGGAGAAATGGTAAGAACTCGAAAAGAGTATCTTAGACCGTTGGAGGATTTCCATCCAGGTTACGGATGGAGTCTTCCAGGTTCTTGAGTTCCGCTTTAAGTTGGTTTCCCCTTGGAAAGCACAACGGTTCTGTTCCAGTTAGTGGAGTGTTCGCTCCTTTTCTAGCTAGATCGTTTGCTTTTTTATTGTCTTCTATCCCTTGGTGAGCAGGCACCCAGAGTAGGAGGATTTTATTTTCTTTCCCAAATTTGTTCAGCTTCTCTATGCATTCTTTGACCAACTTCGAATTGATGGTTAGTGAGTTGATGGCTTTTAATGCTGCTTGACTTTCGGATAATATGGCTATTTCCTGTTTTCGATAGTTCCTATCTAAAGGCTTGGCCACACTGAACGCGGTCTGCCCGCCGCGATCTGCCGTCAGCCCGTCGCGGACAGCCCGTTAATCTGTAGTACAAAGCGGTACGTTACCCCCGTCACACAGAAGACGGGCCGACGCCGCGGGCCGACGGATGGACGCGACGGGCAATTTCCAGTTGTATTTCAAGACAGATTTTTCGTGAACGCCGAGATCTATTTGATGCAAAATGGGTGAAAATACCGAAAATTTAAAATAGAAAAAGTTCGTGGCTATCCTTATCTTTATGACACAAGTCTTAAAGAGTACAAAAACATATTAAAGAACTCTTGACATTCGAAAATACTTGAAAAAGCAATCTTCGTGTGATTTCCCTGCACAGCCGGTGATATTCGCCGTATTGCTCTCTCCTCTTACTAATTTCATGTACCCACAATCTCTTTTTTTAGATTTAACTACTGCGTAGAGCAACAAAACTTCGTCTTCGGAAGACATTTTTACAAATCCGATTGACCGCTCCTGCTGTAAAAACTAGAACCGCGCTCTGTGTGACGTTCGACGACCGCTTTTAGAACGCGTAGACCGCAACGGTATGGTTCGCGGCGGGCAGACCGCGTTCTGTGTGGCCAAGCCTTAAGATAAATTGAACCCATTCCACGTAAATTGTAACCATTGATTATAGTTTTAAATTAAAACCTACAGTTAAACGTTCTCCAACCCAGTGTGAGTACATATCATTGTAAAACCTCTGACGAGGGGTAGGGGACTCAAAAAACTCACGATCTTTTAGGATGTTTATTTCAAAATTTAATTTGATTTAAAATTAGGGCGACATGTTTCGGGATTCATTTAATTCTCATCTTCAGGCCCAGCCAGAAAGACAAAAGTCTTTCCGAGTGGTATGGCTTCCTGGTGTGACTTTTGTCTTTCTGGGCCTGAGAATGGGAATTAAATGAATCCAGAAACATGTCGCCCCAATTTTAAATCAAATTAAATTTTTAAATAAACATCCTAAAAGATTGCGAGTTTTTTGAGTCCCCTACCCCTCGTCAGAGGTTTTACATTAAAACCTAAAGGTTTATGAGTGAATGAATGAGTGGGAGGGGGGTTAATCACTGCGACCTTACAGATCTATTGTGTCCTACAGGTTTATAGTTAATTGGATTATCCAAGCTTATTTGTAGAATCGAAAACAGCTAAAAAAGAACAAAGTTACGGCTCTGAGGTGACATTGACACCGATGATGGTAATTCAAGGATAACAATGCAATCGAGATTTCAAAGCGGTTTGTTTGATCTTTTCGAGCGAATTAAAATCAATGATCTTAAAAATCTATTTCATGAAAATTTTAATAATTGTCAGTAAATCTTGGAGAAGAATATTTACTTAAAGATCATCATAATTTTTGGCAATATTTGGCATTTCATTGTTTTACAAATAAATTCTGCAGATTGAAGTAATTTTAAGTAGCGTATGATCGAAAAAAAATCGACTTTAGCGATAGCTATGAAATGAAGATCGCTGTCATTTTATATGTAAAATTATATGGGGAATGTCATAGATGTTCATTTCAAAGCCAACTGGACGCCGTTTTTTTCGATCATACGGTACTTATGTGTACAAACTCTTTTATCTAGTTTCTGGTACCCTAATATTTTATTATTATTTTTTAGCCGACCATACCAATGTATGGTAGGTAATACCAAGGTATGGTAGGCTATTAAGATCGGCAAAAAAAAGTTTTTTTAATTTCACTCATAATGAGTTATTTGGGTCATAAATGACCTAAATACAAAATATTTTCATGGTGTCTGTCTGTCCGTCTGTCTGTCTGTCTGTCCGTCTGTAACACGATAACTCAAAAACCGCTAAACCGATTTTAACCACATTTGGCACAAAAATACTGTGGCACCCGATAATCTGGCCATTAGTTTTTGGTGGAGGTGGGGGGTTGGTAAGGGGGTATGGGAGGGGGTTAAAAATTAAAAAAAAGCGTAACTCCAAAATTACAGTAGTTAGCGAAACGCGGTTTTCAATTTAAGATTAGGAATAATATTTGCAACCAAATTTGTAATAACATCAAAATCAGTCAAAGTCGCAGTTTTTGAGATAAAAAAAATTGGAAAAATTCCTTTACTTTGTAACTAAAAGAACTGCCTACCTACTTTGTATTAACATATTTTAGTATGGGCAGCTATACGTGCTTCCCGGCGCCAATTTTTTTGTATTATAATTATAAATGTCTGTCAATTCAATTCTCCCGCAGAATAAAAAAAAACTATATTGCGTTAAATTGCATAAAGTGGAACATTATTCGTTTAAGGATAATATGGTTTTGTTGCGGACAGATCCATTGTCACAAACTAATCTATTTACGTTTATTAAAGCCGCTTTTTACTGTGATGAAAACTGAAATGAATGTTTTACCAACCTACTGATTATTGTACATTGTACACCGCACATACTTAATTGTGATTTGATTACATAAAAAAACTATTAAAGTTTATTTTTAAAACAAAAATTTAAGTGAAAGGAGAATCGCTTTTTTTTAAATCTGATTTCATCTTCTTTAAATCTTATTTATCAGTGTATCTTGTAATGTACCTATTGATCAGATCAGTATAAAGAGTAAGTTTAATAGCAAATAAATGTTTCTTTTGGATCCCTAAAGGAAAGAACAACATAAAGGAAGATACGTTAATGCTAGAATAGATATCTCCTATATATAGGGATATATAAAAAGGGTTCAAGGAAGGATCCCAATAACTACCGGGGAATTTCGGTCACCAGCACTATGAGTCGGCTCTATGGAAGGATACTGAGGAACCTAATTGAAGAGGAATACTCCAGCTACGAAGAAGAAGAGCAGAATGGTTTCCGAGGCGGAAGATCATGTACAGATAATATCTTTACATTGAAACAGATCATCGAGGAGAAATCTGCAATGAACCAGGAAGTTCATATAACATTCATCGATCTACAAAAAGCATATGATCAGTGCCAATAATAAAATTATGGGAAGTATTGCACGAATCCAGAATTAACCCAGCTCTGATAAAAGCTGTACAAAATCTTTACCATGGAGGAAAATCACAAATAAAAACGGTCAACGGTCTCTCAGAGGAAATTGCTATCACTAAAGGGCTCCGACAGGGTTGCTGATATCCCCAACACTATTTAAAATTTATATTGTCAAGGCCTTACATCTATGGAAAAGAAAATGTAACGGAATGGGTATAGAACTAAATGACATATGCTTATACACCTTGCAATTTGCAGACGACCAGGCGATAATTGCAAACGACAAAGATGACATGGAATATATGGTGCGGAAAATAATTGAAGAATATGCTAAATGGGGTCTCACAGTAAATACTTAAAAAACGAAATACCTTCCAATTGGAGCCAATACAGAAAATCTTATTTTGGACAATAATATGGAAATTAGGGCATGTGAAGATTACAGATACCTGGGTTCGATATTTACAGGAGATGGAACGGACGATAGAGAAATAAACAACAGAATAATACAGACACGAAGAGTTATCAGATGCATAAATGGCATTCTATGGAGCACTGAAATTACAAAGAACAGGAAATATAATATATACGAGACACTAGTTAAAAGCATGTTACTCTATGGATGTGAAACATGGCGATTCACTGAAAGGAATAAAAGAAAATTAGAGACAACAGAAATGGACGCCATTAGAAGACCACTGAGAATTTCACGGAGGGATAAAATCAGAAATGAAGACATTAGACGACAGATGGGAATAGAGGGAACAATAGTAAATGATATAGAACAAAAACAATTAATATGGTACGGCCACGTTCAGAGAATGCACAATGAAAGAATTCCAAAACAAGTAATTCATTGGATACCACCTGGTAAACGAAAGAGAGGACGTCCCAAGAAAACATGGATGGAAGGAATAAGAAGGTCGATGAGCGAGAAAAATCTAACCGAAGATCAATGGGAAAATCGCACAGGGTGGTAGTTAGGCATCGGACAACGTCGTAGGACGTTCTGACCCGAATTTATATATAAATTTGTAAATAATGTTTTCTTATGAAGCCATGTATAGTTTTCGCTTTTGCAACTAAATAGTTGGCCGACTAAAAATTGTATGGGAGGGGGGGAGTTCGTCACCGCGACCTTAAATATTTATTGGGTTATAAACTCATCGTACAGTCTCAGGGATTTGAGAAAATCCAGTATCTGAGACGGTTTTACAGAGATTTTAC